ATATATATATATATATATATATATATATATATATTTATTTATTTTAACAAACCCTCCAACACAAACTACATTTCAAGTTCAACTAGTTCCAGAGGCAGGAACAGACCAGGACTCAAAAGGCAAGGAAGCGCCCATGAATGCCTACTATGCATTTACTTCCTGAGTGCCTACTATATATCAGTGATGAGAGATAAAACAGTAAGGAAGCCCTTAACCTCATTTAAGCCTCCACAAAAATGCTAAGACAGGTATGATTATTTCCACAAGCCAGAAAAAATGAAGAATATGATCGGTGCTAGCTGCAGTATTCAAATTTAAGCCAGTCTAACCCTAAAATCCATGTTCTCCTACACCTGTCTCTCCTATACCATGCTACCCACCAGAAAGTAGGGAAGTGGGCAGTCCTTTCTGAATATGGTAATAATATCAACCCAGTTAGTAAGAATTAAGTGAGATAATGTTGGAAATATTTTGAAAACTATATAGTACTACTCAGAAAAATCAAGTAACTTGCCTAAGACCACCTAGTTCATAAATGGGAAAGGCAGCACTCAAAATAAACTCTTCTGACTCCAAAGTTTGTAGCAGTACGCCTGGTCCAGGACTAAGAGAAACACACTTCTCTACCTCTAAGATTTAACATGCAAACATGTCACAGATATTCAATACCTATCTTGAATTGATTTAGTTTAATTAATGAAAAACATGAAGATTCAAGAGTCTTTCTTGGTTCTGTCTCCCTTAAAAGTAAAGAAATTAAAAACTGAAAATCAACACATACTCAGGAATCACTGGGGCCTCTGGATTTTTAGTGGCTACGTCTCTGTCCAAGTGTACTAAAAGCTAAATCTATTGCACATTTAAGTCCAAATCCCATATTATTTATTAGCACGTCAGACATTCACAAGGTATTACGTGTAATCTTTATACAATTGTAAATCTGAAGCCAAAAGTACAAAATTATACAACTCACAATGGCTAGGAGTCACATCTTATTTCATCTTTTTATCTGTCTCTCGAAAGATCCAACATTTTATACAGTTAGATAAATTATTTTGAGTCCTAGAGAGTTTTTTGACATACATTTTAAATGAAACAGACATGTTTCTACTTGTACTGCATTCCAAGGAGCTGCAATGACAAAAACAAAGCTACTGGCATCCCATACTTATGCAAATTGACCCATCTATTGACGTGAGTATTTAATGTATAATATTAGAAGGAATAATTACACAAGATAAGGAATAATTACACAAGATACAATGCAACTACTTTTCATGAAACTACAAACTACAAAAACTTGAAACCAGACAGTCTGATTGCTACTGCTGAATAATTCAAAATAGTACATGATGCCAAAGTTGAAATTTAGAGATAAATAGGTAAGTGATTGTGATTTCTGATAAAGGCTAAATTTACTCATTTATTAAAATTGAGTATAAGCAAAGCCTACAGGGCACTAAATTTTACTTGAGCAGTTATTTATAGAGAATTTAAAACATTTCATTTTTATCTCCCTTAACCAAAGGGATGAATATGACTGTTAATGACACAGAAGTGAAAAACCATTTGCAATCTTCTATTTACTTCCTTTTATGCTAAAATTAATGTTAAACCCTACTGGCATAAGTTTGAATTACCTTTAGCTTCCATTAGCTTTACTTACAGCTCTATTCATACATAAACACACACACTGAAAGAAGATAAAGGTAAAAAAGATACCAAAATAAGTATGCAAGATGCAAGGCAAAAAAGTCTTTATTCCCTTACAATTATACCTGTTGTGGTATAATTAATTAAATGACTAAAGTCATTTTACTTTGAAAATATGTAAGAGAATGCAGAAGCGGTAATTAAGTTTTTCACTTAGAAAAATATTCTACATAGTCATGAACTACTCAAACCAATGTGGATTCTTAACTATCTCATAATAAATTTAAATGAGTTACTATTACTAAACATTTATTTAGTGTCCTAGCTCAAAATATCAGCAACCTTTCTGAGAAATTATGCATTTTCACCCTCAGTGAAAATATACCTATATACAGACATCTTTTCATCATTTAAAAAAGCCCTACTGCAGAAACAAACTCTGTTGCTTTTGCTTACTTCTCTTTAAAAAATCCTAAATAAAATACCGTATTAGAGTTTAAATAAATACAAACAGTCCTGTGTAGAGTCAAACCTGGCAGCCCAGAAGAAATGACTAGAATAAATTTAAACCTTAGGTTTATGCATATACATACACACACACACACACACACACATACGTGTGTGTGTGTGTGTGTGTGTGTGTGTGTGTGTGTGTATGTCTTTCTCTTTTCGAGATAAATCTAAATAGGGAAATGGGTAGGAGGGAAAAAAAAAAGAAACTTATTTTTCTATCTTTTATGTTTCCTCCCTTGTGACTAGCAACAAAGCCCTTAAGAAAAAAGCTGTGTGTACGCTTTGGGGACAGTAGAGGAAAAAACCCTGAGACTGTTTTCAGTTCCATAAAAGTAAGGGGGAGGAGCAAGACAAAGATCCACAAAAGAAAAGATGAGCATTATAAATAATGCCCCTAAAGGGGTATGTTCTAACTCAATGCCCAGTGTTCTTCAAGGCAGTACTCCCCAACTTCTGATCATTTCCCTCTCCATCCAGAATCCTAATGATCTGGGCAAGGTGGTACTCTCACAAAGCCCACTTGCCTTTCTCTTGATAACAGCTAACTAAGCACCAAACATGGTACCAGATGGATTATCTTTTTTCATCCTCACAGCAATCTGAGTACTAAGGCTATGCCATGTTGAGTAACCTGTTCAAGGTCACAAGCCTGGTAAGGTAAGTGGTGGGGTCTGATCAGAAACCCAGAGGTCCTATTCTGATAACCAGTATAGTATATGGCCTTCTCTCTGGCAGATTCCAAAATCTCACATTTACTGGTAGAAGATGAGACCAATATAGAGGGAACTGCTTAAACTTGTCACATGTAAGCAGTAAGTATACATGTACACATAATAAAACCAAAGCAGAAAGAGCACAACTGCTTTGTTCTAAAAGGGATCAGGTATCAGAATAAAGTAGAATGCTTTTTCAAAATTTTAACAACTGTATTAAGATAGGTGATAGGGTGCACTGGGAACTCTAGAACCTAACTACTCGAAGTATGTACCAAACAGTAGCATCAACACTAGGAGTTTGTTAAAATGCAGAATCTCAGGTCCCACCTCACACCTATAAATCTGCATTTTAACAAGATTTTCAGGGAATTCATATGCACATTAAGGTTAAAAAAGCGCTGCTCCATAACCACTCTTTGAGTGGCAGTGGTCTAGAAAACAGCCTTGGCAATTCTCAAAAAATAAACTCCACTTAGAAATGTAGGACTTTCAAATCAACACACTATTTTCTGCTGAATTTGTAATTCTCAGAGTTTTCCTGCCACCAGCAACTCCAATGTTCTATGGCACTCTTCCAAAAAAAAAAGGCAACTGGACTTGCTCCTAGGGCCACAATGGCAGAATTTCTCAGAGGGGTATTTAAATTTAAAGCTAGAAGGCAGCGGTGCCCGGATGGTTCAGTCAGTTAAGCATCTGCCTTTGGCTCAGGTCATGATCCCAGGGTCCTGGGATGGAGCCCCACATGGGGCTCCCTGCTCAGCTGGGAGCCTGCTTCTCTCTCTCCCTCTGCCCCTCCCCCTGCTTGTAAGCACCCTCACACTCTCTCTCAAATGAATAAAATCTTTTCAAAAAATAAACAAAACAAATAAAAATAAAACCAGAAGACAGTCAAAAATTATATGCATATTGCCACTAATCATGAAGAGGGCTCATGCATAAAAGAATTTGTTGAAAAAAAATCCATAAAGATCATGTAGCTCAAAAAGATAAACCAGAGCTACAAATACTTGAGAAAAAAGAAGAAATAGATGGGACTCCACATTATAAATGTCAATTTCCCTTTAAGGTTTATTACATGAGATTAAACCAGTTAATTATACTATCTTAAGAGAACTGCCTAAAATTTTTTTAGACAAAATTTCCTTTCACAGAGAGTGTAGTAGCAAAAGTAGAGTCAAAATAGGCTAATTTTAGGGGCTTCTGGGTGGCTCAGATGATTAAGCCTCTGCCTCCGACTCAGGTCATGATCTTGGGGTCCTGGGATCAAGTCCCACATCTGGCTCCCTGCTCATCAGAAACCCTGTTTCTCCTTCTCCCTCTGCCCCTCCTCCTGCTCATGCTCTCTATCTGACTCAAATGAATAAATAAAATCTTTTTTAAAAAGGCTACTTTTAAAGCAGTAAAAGACTGAAATAGTTTAACCTAGTGTTTTTGAATTTATTTCTGAGTACTATATGCTAATTAAATTTATTTATAAAGACTTTTAATGAACTATAGTTGGCAAATTAAAATTCCTTTGTAATCTTAAGGCTTGCAGAAACTTGACAATATTTATCATGTGTAATGACTTTATATTTCTTAAATAATCATCTCAATTAAGAACAAATTGGCCAATCTGTGAACACTACATACCCAATGCACCAAGTCACTGGCACTGTTATACTCCCTAAAGTTTTAGAGGTTCTTAGGAGGAGGCAGAAATCAAAACAGAAAATCATTTTGGCTTCCATTTGTTATAGAGTCTCAAAAATTTTCCAAATACCTAAATATTAGGTAGATTGGGTATCTCTGTCCCATTATACATTTCTATATTATAAATTCTGTAACTTTTTTTAAAACAAAATATCCTCACAAATAATACTGCATAGAAAAGTATGATAATAACCTTTTAGTCTAACATCTTTATATAATCTAAAATGTACTGCTTCATTTGGACTGCCCAATTAAATTTTTAGAAAATATGACTGTAAAGTAGAATCTGGAAAAGATATTTAAAAAAAAAAACAAAAAAAAACAAAACAAAACCAGAATCCATGTAATATCAATCTGAACTAAAGTTATTTAAAGGTAAAGGTTTAAAATAGATGTATTGATTTAAAAATTTTCTTAAAATCTATGTGAACTCCTTCATCTTTGCAACTTTGAGGTAGTTATCTACATTTCTGAACCTTATTGAAATTCCATTCACGTCCTCAATCCAAGCAACGTGATAAAATTTGTCGGGTCAGACCTCTAAAGAACTTTAGCATCTGTTTGACCTTAAATAAATACAGGTTTTGGAGTCATAAAGACGTAAGTCTGAATCTATGTAATTGTTTGAATCCATACACTAGTATATACAAACCATACACTAGTTTGTGTGACCTTGGACAAACTACTTAACCTGTTTCTTTTATTGTTGTTAAGTGATAAATGTCATACCTGGGTGGGGGGAGGGGTCATATGAGAACCACATAAAGTATCCAGAATGGTTTTAATAAGTTAAACTAACCTTCATGAAAAATAGTTAAAAAACAAAATTAGCTCTCCAAATCTATACAAGATATGTAAGCATTACACAAATTATTTTTATCTTTCCTAAAGATTTGAAAGGAAGTAACATTTGATTAAATAACATTAAATAATAACATCTGAGAAAGTTGTTTAAACCAGAAATTATCTGGGGCCCCTGGGTGGCTCAGTGGGTTAAAGCCTCTGCCTTAGGCTCAGGTCATGGTCCCAGGGGCCTGGGATCTAGCCCCGCAGGGGGCTCTCTGCTCAGCAGGTAGCCTGCTTCCCCCTCTCTCTCTCTGCCTGCCTCTCTGCCTACTTGTGATCTCTCTCTGTCAAATATATAAATAAAAATCTTTAAAAAAATAAAATAAACCAGAAATTATCCAAGCTTTTGCTTGGATTTCTTGTAAAATATCTAAAATACTACCACATAGTGATTCTAATGTTTCATTTTAATTTCTTTTAAAGTTACTTCCATTTAATTAGTTTCTCAATAAAAAAATTCAATGAATTCATTGTTAAGCATTACTACATTTATTACTTTTAAAGTCCTTGAATATTTATTTATAACTTAGGGCCTTAAAAGCCATCAGACTTTGCATGTTTAACCTTTGCAACAAAAGAGTATAAAATATTTGTTTTATGCAGATTTTTGCTATGGCTGAAATTTAACAAGCTTACAAAGAGTTAACCAAGACCATGGGAAGTAAAGATACAGTGGCAATAAAATTTAATCCTGCAAATGCATGATTTTAATATGAATTTAGCATAAAGTACATCTCTCTTTAAAAAAAAATTTACATCCTGTTATCCTTTTATTCAAGTGAAATGGAATAAAGTTGAGGAAAAAAATTGACAGGTATGGATTAGAGATTTATAGATTCAAAAAAACATTCCAAATTTGTATAAGCTTTAAATGAATCATCTGATTTGTCTTCATTGTGTGATAAGTTTTGTGAACTTTGTTTCTCCCCACTGTTCTGTATTTAGTGGTTTAACAAAGTTAATGTGTATAAACCCAGCCCTGGAGAATCTGTAATTCTTACCAGAGAAAATGACAAGTACTCTGAATACTTTTTACATTTCACCATCCAATATTTTTTAGAGAATTAATGACATGTACGTCTTTATGTTCACTAAAAGTCTTTGTATTTAACATTGTACTTCAAAGGATCACGTTGTTTTGGACTCAGTTTGAAGGTATTATACTTCTTTCAGGAAAGAATTTTTACTATTTACAACATAATTAAAAGATTTCTAGAACTGGTACTCTAAACCTTCAGCAAAAATTAAAAATCATGTACATACAAAGCTGGGAGCAAAATCCTATTTATAAGGGCAAATACAGTTAAGTTTACAAATGACTGTAAAAAAGTCTACACTTTCGGGGCACCTGGGTGGCTCAGTGGGTTGAGGCCTCTGCCTTCGGCTCAGGTCATGATCCCAGGCTCCTGGGATCGAGCCCCACATCGGGCTCTCTGTGAAGCAGGGAGCCTGCTTCCCTTCCTCTCTCTCTGCCTGCCTCTCTGTCTACTTGTGATCTCTGTCTGTCAAATAAATAAAATAAAATCTTAAAAAGGAAAAAAAAAGTCTACACTTTCTTAGAAGCACAGGAGACATCTTTTTTTGATTAAAATACTAGTGCCCTTGATTTTCCACAATAAAAAGATTACTCACTTTGTTAGTTTTTTGTGGGAGGGAGGAAGGAGGAAAGTTGGAGAGAAGTATGTGAAATCCTACTTGACTAAAAAGGAATTTTAGTTGGTAGTTTTTCGTTTGTTTGGTTTGGTTTGGTTTGGTTTGGGGTTTGGGTTGTGTGTGTCTGTGTTGTGTGCACGCCGGCCTGGGGGGCGGGGGGGGGGGGGGGGGGGGGGGGAGGACGCGTAATGAGTAAAATGACAGTTTATGAAGCCCATAAAGTCTACCTTGGATCAAGTTCAAATTCACAAACTCCACAAAGTCTACGGATTTGCCTAGAGCCACAAAGAATAAAAATCAAGGCAGCACCGCCCGACTCTACACTGAAAGCGTATGGTGGACTTAACCTTTACTCACTGTCCTGCTGAGAGTAGACACACTGGTTCTTCGGGAAGAAAAAGCAAAAATCCCAAGGTCCTCATGCCACTGTCTTTAAAAAAAAAAAAAAAAAAAAAAAAAGAAGGAAAGGAAGAAAGGGAGGGAGGGAGGAAAGAAGAATAAAGAAAAAGGCCAAACAAGTGAACGCATTATACTAAGTAACCCGGGGCACTCAGCTGCCACTTACGTGACACTTTGGCACCGGCACGTACCTGTCTGCAAAAACATACCTTATTCTTCGCTCTTAAAACAGAAGCCTAGGTAGTAAAGATTAAGACGCAAAGTGTTAGCATTCCGATTGCAAAATAACCTACCTGTTAACGTAATTCTTTGGTCTGGAGGCACGGAGAGGACTTGGCTCTCATGCATTTTCAAAGGGCCCAGATTTGGAGAGGTTGCCTGCGCTCCCATGACTTTGGGGGGTGCCCCCCGGGAGCGACCCTTCATTCCCAAGGACAGCAGACGTCCTTTGTACATCCACTTCTGCAGCTTCTTGACTGTCACCGCGGGAGGCTTGAGGAAGGGGAGCCCCTCCTGGCAGTCTTCTTTGCCGCTGCGTACCACAGCGGACCCCGCAGGTTCCCTGAAAGGGCTTCCTGAGGAGCGGCCGGGGTCCCTGGAGCGGGAAGTCAGGAGGCCGGAGGGCGCGGCGGCCGGGACGCTGCCTCCGCTCCAGCCGTCCATCCCGCCTCCACGTGGCGGGGGCTCGTCCAGGTCTCCGCGCACGCCGCACCTGATCCAGCTGTCGCTCGGCCACCGCTGGAAGGGAAGAGGCTTGGCACCCACCCGGAGGCTCTCGAGGCTTCTGCTGCAGGACAGCCGCATCCGAGGAGTCCGCAGGCGGCCTCTCCCCGACTCCCTCGGAGGCGACCGGGGGGGGGACACCTGCTGCCAAGGGCGGCCACCGCCTCCCCGCTGCCAGTCTTGGGGGCAGGCTCGGCGGTCCGCAGCGCCGCAGGGGGAAGGCGGCTGGCCCAGCGCCCGGGCTCCCACAAGGCAGCCGCGATCCGCCCAAGCCCTGTCGCCCCGCCGCGCGCCCGAGTCAGGGGGCAGGTCGTGCATGGCCTGGATCAGCAGATAATAGGCCTCTCGCAACTGGGTCTGCAGCCTGCCTGTCTCCTGGCGGCCGCCCTCCGCCCCCGGGGAGGAGCCCGCCGCCGGGGGAGGCGGGGGCCACCGCTCCGCCTCCGCCCCCTTAGGCTTGGGCGCCGAGTGGGAGCCGCCGGGCAGGTTCTCGTAGTAGTCGGCGTCGTCCTCCCGGTCGTCCTCCTCCTCTCCGCTGCCTTCGGAGCACGGCGGGGCGTGCAGACAGGCGCGAGGAAGCCCGCCACCCGAGGAGAAGGCCTCCTTCCCGCCGCGCTGACGAGGCCCGAGCGCTCCCCACTGCTCCGGGCGCCCTCCGGGGACCCGCGCCTCGGGAGCCCACGCGTGCGGCGACGGCGGGGGCTGCTCCAGGCTCGGCCGGGCTGCGCGGGCGTGCTTGCCTGGGCGGGCGTCCGGAGCACGGCCGGCGTCTCCCTCGGCAACCGCGGAGGCCGCCACGGTAGCTGCCGCGGCCGCCCGGAGCCCGAGCCCCCCGGCGGCGCGGGGGCTCCGCCTCCCCCGGAGCCTGGACAGCGTCCTTCTGAGGGGGTCCGCCATCCCTTCCGCCTCAACACCCAGGCTCGCCCCCGCTGCGAGAAGAGGACAGAGCCCAGTTCGGGGGAAATCTGTGCTCGCGGAGGCGGTGGCGACGGCGGCGGCTCCCCATGACCGGCGCTGGCCCTCGCGGGCTCCTCACATACTTGGCATAACTCTGCCGCGGGAAGGGGTGGGGGAGGGCGGCGGCACCGCAGAGCGCATGCCCCGGAGCCTCGGGCCGCGACGGGGCGCGCAGTCTGCGGGCGGCGGAGCGGCGTTCTCCCGGGTGGGCGCCGGGCGAGGCAGAGGGCGGGAGGGGAGGAGGGCAAGAGTGACCTAACGGAGACCCGGGGACCCGAGAGGGAGCGCCCAGAGGGTGGGGAGGAGTGGGGCGGGGCGGAGGATAGGTGGACTGTGAGAGTTGAGGCAGAAAAAAGAATGAGCGGGAAGGTGTCTCGACGGGAAGGCTGCAAAGTTTTGGAGAAAGGGAAAGTGCCCTCCTGGCTGCCACTCCGTCACCTTCACCCCCTGCCCATTGCCACCATTGCACGAGGCGTGTCTAATGTAACAAGTCCCAGCTTGAGAGAAAACAAAGATCGTTTTGACGGACATAGTGTGAGTACAGGTGTATCTCATTGAGTGCAATGTGTTCTAGAAACATTCCTAACCATTTTAATGACGGAGAGCTAGCTATTTAAAGGAAATTTGCAGAGATATCTTTTCAGTGAAGAAGAATCCTTTTGCCCCCAAAACCACCACTTTGTCCCGTCTTTCTTTAATGAATGCATACTACCACAAAATTCTGATTATCAACCAAAACTGATTATAAAATGGAGACGCAGAAGTAGTGGCCCCCCCCTTTCAGCCCACTAACACTTCATTTTAATGAAAACGGGTTGAGAAAAAATTGGGAAACAGTGTTAGTTGGAAATACCAACTCTCTTAAAAATATTAAATCCTGGGGCACCTGGGTGGCTCAGTGGGTTAAAGCCTCTGCCTTCGGCTCGGGTCATGATCTCAGGGTCCTGGGATTGAGCCCCGCATCGGGGCTCTCTGCTCAGCGGGGAGCCTGCTTCCCCCTCTCTCTCCGCCTGCCTCTCTGCCTACTTGTGATCTGTCTGTCAAATAAATATATAAAATCTTTAAAAAAAACATATTAAATCCTATATTCTGTGTAACAGTTGCAAAGTACCTTGAGTTGCCACAGGTGAATGGACCTATCCCTGTTTGGTAAGAATCATCATTGCTGTCATCTCTGATTTCAGTTACATTTTTTTAAAAGATTTTATTTATTTATTAGAGCAAGTTGGGGAGGGGGCAGGAGAGGGAGAAGCTGATTCCCCTCTGAGCCCATCCACCGCAGGACTCCATCCCAGGACCCTGAGATCCTGACCTGAGTCCAAGTCAGACACTTCACTGACAGCCACCCAGATGCCCCCAATTACTTTTATTTATTTAATGTTTATATATATTAGAAAAGGGCTTTTGTCTGAGTAGCTCATGAATGTACTCCTAGCTCCCAACACAGTACTCGCACATGATAAGAATTCAAGAAATACTTGTTGAATAAATGAATGCTTGCATAACTAAATAAAAGAATTTAGTCCCGGGGGTTCTGGCTGGCCCCATCAGTAGGGCATGCAACTCGACCTCAGGGTGGTAGGTTGGAGCCCCACATGCCCCATCTTGGACAGAAGTAACTTGGAAAAAAAAAAAAAGAATTTGGTCCTAACTTATCCAATTTCCAAATATATTTATGTAAGTTTCATTTTCCCCCACCAGTTAAAGACTCCGATCTCTAAATGTGCTTTGGCATATACCACTTTCTTTAGTATCTAGTCCCTACCTCCTTGAATAATTTTGCCTGCATCTTGCATCTCCATTTGCAAAAATGTTACCGATCCTTTAAGACACCATTCAACTGCCTTCTCTCAGAAGTCCTCTCTGATATTCCAGATGGACATGATCTCTCATTCTTCCAAACTCCAGGAGTACTTTATTCATATCCATTCATAGTGTATTTATTGGTTTTTGTTTTCTACAAAGTATGCCTTATCTCTCCTGCCAGAAAATTCATAAAATCCTTATGAGCAGATACTATTTGTAATTGACTTCTGTATTCTCCACAGAGCATAAGTATAGCATCTTTTATGATAAATAAATATTTTTGAATTAATGTCAGTTTTAATTTAGAGGAAACAAACAGCTTTTATTTCCAATCCATTGCCTAACTCTCCACTAGACCATATTATATTAGTGTTGTTTTAAAATTCTCTTAGAGGGCGCCTGGGTGGCTCAGTGGGTTAAGCCTCTGCCTTTGGTTCAGGTCATGATCTCAGGGTCCTGGGATTGAGTCCCCCATCAGGCTCTCTGCTCAGTGGGGAGCCTGCTCCTCCTTTCTCTCTTCCTGCCTCTCTGCCTACTTGTGATCTCTCGCTGTCAAATAAATAAATAAATAAAATCTTTTAAAAAAATAAATAAAATTCTCTTAGTTATGAGTAAGAAATACTTTTGTTTGTTAAATAATTTAATCCTCATCTAGGAAAATACTGTGAAATGTTAAACTATAATTTGCATGCATTACTATTTATAGTCCTACAGTATTTTTATTCCATGGAGCAAAGGCTATTTAATGAATAATCAAGGCATACAATTATGTCCCAGGGAAATAGTCCCACAGGAAATGACTGACAGTAAATCTGCCAATAATGGTGTCTGTAAACACAATTCGATCTCTATCTCAGAAATTATTTCATTCCAACTCTTGTAAGTTAACAGTTGTGAAGTATACCATAAATTGCATATATGTGTAAAAATGAACACAAAAATATAACCTTGAAAGTCTAGGTTGAACTTTAATTCAGCTTGTCAACTTGTCAACTTATTGATTTCAGGAGTTATAAATACATTGGCCCATATCAAATACTACACGTTGTTCTACACATTACTCAGGACTAAGTCTGAACACAACTGAACTTAATGCCACTTAGAAGCAGAAAATGTTCTATCACATAAATTCACAATTTTTAAAGGGTCACAACAGAAGTTAATAAGGCAGTTAAGGCTATATGATACTAAACAATGACCTTTGCAAATCCCTCTGTATGTGTATTGCAATTCAGTAAAAAGTTTATAAAAATGTAACTACAAAGACAGTACCCACAGAATTTACATTACACATACAATTAAGATGGTGACAAGATATGAACATGAGTTAAACTTCGTGAAATCTTTTTTGTGTTTTAACCATTTTACCCCATTCTCTCAGTTATCTCGATTTTCATATATTTCTAATCAACAGATTCCTACAAAAATTAAGGGGTGGGGATACATTTTCTAGTGTTTGTACTTGTTTCTCACTGACTTGGGAATCATTTTGATGTCCTGTGAATTAACAACTATGTCGGCACAGTCACAAAAGATGAAACAACTATGGGATAATAGGACTCCAGTAAGGCAGGGAGCCAAACTAGGGATGGGGTAGTACTGACTCAGTCTGGGAGAAGAAGTGGGAGCAGGGCAGGTTGAGACAGAGGGCTAAGTTTAACAGTAATACAAAGCAAATGTCTAGGTATGTTATGGTTATTTTCTAAGCAATTTAGAGTGCACTTCTGTCTCACTGCTGTTCAGTCTTCCATTGGAGTCTTAGTGGAACCAAGGACAAATTTAACTCCGGCATTTGCCCAGTTCCCTCTCTCTCTCTCTCTCTCTCTCTCTCTCTCTCTCAGCTGCCTTCCAGGGCTCCTCTGGTGTAGAGCCGCCTGGTCTGCCATGATGCCAGTCCATCGATATTGAGTAAAAGTGTTCTAACCCACAACTGACCACACTGCCACTGCCCTGAGACTCAAAGATGGCATGTCCTCAATATAACATTTTTTCTGTTAATTTTTTCCATAATTAATATTTGGCAACTAGTCATGTTCCTTACCTCATCCCCTACCTTGAACCAAAGCAATATAAAGGAGACTTTTGCCTAATGTTTTAGAAATATATAATGTTTTAGAATATTCACTATTTCACACTTTTTTTTCCAAGATTTTATTTATTTGACAGAGAGATGTCGAGAGAGGGAATATAAGCAGGGGGAATGGGCGAGGGAGAAGCAGGCTTCCCGCTGAACAGGGAACCTGATGTGGGGCTCCATCCCAGGACCCTGGGATCATGGCCTGAGCCGAAGGCAGACGCTTAACAACTGAGCCATCCAGGTGTCCCTATTTCACATTTTCTTATCGTATATTTAGGATGTGTAGAGTAAGTTCCTCAAAGTTACCATAATAAGTGAAAGGGAATTCAAACCTCATCTATCTGATTCCAGAACCACTATAGTCTACAGCCCTGGGACATTTCCCTATAGAGAAAAATAGAATATCCATTCACTATAATAGTACCTGCACTGACCTAAAACTTTGTTTTCATAAATTTAGTTGGTCACCTTTCAGAAGAGTTTAATATTTCTG